TGTTCAGTATATAGGGAGGAGATTCAGCAGGGAAGGCCTGGAGCCTTACTCCCCCAAGCGAAGACTGCTCAAGCCGGGCAGGAGGCAGGGCAGCCATTTCATTCGCAGGAGCAAGCAGGCTGCTTTTCACCAGGAAGCCCCCCTCACCTGAGCTGGTTCTGCAAGAAGGGCGCAGAGGAGCCGCCTCTGGCAGTAGTGCGGCCCAATAGACACAAGAAATATTCCTAGAAGTTACTCAACCAGCGCTTACGTGATCATAACAGGTTGCTCAGAGAAAAAAACAGGAGGAGCGCTATCCTGCTGCAACCCTTTGGAGACGGAGGACTGGGGCTCAGGATCCTGCATCCTTTCGCCTGCAGGCTTGGGACATGAGCCCTGCAGAGCCAGACACAGCTGAGCAAGGAGCAGGGCCAGGGCAAAGCACCATCCTTGCCCAGCCGGGCAGATGCCACATCTCACACATGCTCTCTGAGGCAGCAGTGATGCTCCTCCAGAGCTTGCTGTGGCCTCTGTAACCCACAAGAAGACACTTCAGAAGTCTTTTGCTTTGACTTTCCTGCCTCTGCTTTGCTGCCCTTTCTCAGTCCGCAGGGGACTCATTACACCCAACTTGGCTGAGCAAGAGACAGGAGCCTTGAAATACTGACAGAGTAATAATGAGTGGAATCGAGTGGGCATTGCAGCATCCCTGGAAACACACTTTCTAGACAGCAAAACAGTATCTAATCTGCAAGCAGAGGCAGGAAAGTCAAAGCAGATTAATTATTACTGCAGACAGAGGGTGTGAGGTGCTATTGAGACCTTAAACACTGCAGGGATTTTCCTATGCACAGGTTAGAGAATGAGGCACTTGCGAGCCCCTTTGAAAACAAATGGCCAGTCATGTAGCATGAGTTAGCAGAAATACTTTCACTTCAGTGTCAGGCTTGCTGCTATTGACTTTTGTGCTCTCACATATTTCCTCTTGACGAAGCTCAATCCAGCCCTAAACCAGGAGTAGTTTTAACATAAAAATTCAGTGGCATGAGTACAAGGGAACCCCAAACTGATATAATATGCAGAAATTTTACTAGAAGCTCACTAATTGGTAAAGAAATCTTTTCCAGCTTAAGGACATAATAATAACAGATAAGTAAATGATCTTTTCTCCTGCTCTAGGTAGAGAATTCATAAGTTAAAGTCTTAACTGAGAATATAAAACTGTAAACAGACAAGTTCACACACACACACTTTAAAGATACTTGCTTGTTTTCTAAAATGAAGCAGTAACTACTACAAAATACAAAGAGCCTTAAATGTAGAAAAAGCCCAGTTCTATGAAGGACTAAAACCTACTTTTTAAATCCCTTGGGGGACAGTACTTTTAAAGCTAGATATGCCATACTCACCCTCTTCAACAACGTAACAAAAGGATGCTGGCTATCTCATACCAGGAAGTTTCACCTGCAGAGGGAAGTTTTATAGGTAGGTCTGCAATGCCTCTTCACCTTTGAATTGGCCTGTTTGAAAACTGCTTCCTAATCAATCAACATCTTTGGCTACTTAAAGGTGGGAGGCAAAGTGGGGGCAAATTAATTAAGGCAGCTGAGTAGCTTGTGAGGTGGGTAGTTTGAGACTATTAGGGATTTTCCAGTGTTTGGTGTGGTTGCTTTGGTTGCACTGGGTGTACAGTAGTAGTATTGCTAAAATGTTTAGCTTAAGAAAATTTGAAGTTAATGTGTATGGTAAAGGATGTGTTTTATTCTGGAATATTTGCTTTTTGCCTTTGTAGTAAAAACCTGGACACAGCTTTTGTTTACTTTTGTCTCTCTGATATCTACAGTCATGCTCTGCTATTTTAATTACTTTTATTTTGTTATTTCTGGTACAGAGTGGTCACAACACTTGCACTAACTTCTGCAGAAAACAGGTTATTTAAATCATTGAGCTTAAGAGCTGGTTTTTTGTAATCTCCTCTTAAACACTTATATCAGCTTTTTATGTGTTGTTGAGTTCTTAGTATCAGTAAGTAAGCAACAACAATTAAGCACGTAGGGGAAAGCTGTATGTAAGTAATACTCTTACCTTTTAGCATTGCCCTGCTAGGCTTTTACTATGGCTTGTAGCTTCTCAGTGTCACAGTCTTCTGCATTACTGGAGATAAGGCTTTCTCAAAATACAGGGCAGAACAACCCATCACTGAGCATGCAACGCTACAAGACTCCTAGCTAAAATAAATGTAATCTAATAGCAGGCTTCAGAATAACATGATGTTTTTTCTGAAATTAAACCTTTAGCTTCTGAGCTTCAGTTTCCTCCTTTATGTTCCTAAATCTCTTCAAGTTAAAGCAGAAGTCCAAGTAGATATGTCTAAATGCTGGTTATTGTCTTTTCTGTCAGTGTGAGACAGTCAAAATGGGAACACAGTACTTTCTTCCTGGATTAGTCCTGCTTTTGTGGAACTAAATCTTCTGTCAGTTGATAGATAGCTGATCTTTTGACTCTCAGATCATGAGATGTGTGCACAGCTGTGGCACTATGAGCCTCAAACAGAAGCATGTGTCTTTAAAAGAACATTGTGCAGATAAACATTGGAAGCTAAACATCTAATTAATATCAAAGTAGTATCATTCAGGCCTCTGACTTTTTTTGTAGTTAAAATAGCAAAATGAGTATATAGTATAAGCATGCTATGTGATGGAGCTGAGGAGTTGCTGGTGCATTTAGGAGCTCTTTTCATCATACTGACTATGCAGGAAGGCTGCTAGGAGGACTATGCTGAACCCTGGAAGAATTCTATGTAGAATTCATAGATTCTACAGGGCTAGAATCTGTGCGTCTCACCCTGCTTCTAAAGATCAACGCCAAAAATGTGTAATTTTGCATCAGATCTTACCATAGTTTAGCTATCATTGTGCAGGATGCAAGAAATAACACTGGTCTCCTAAAGACAGGCAGGGAACAGCCTTTTTTATTTTTTGCGAAAGTGCAGCTCAAGTGCTGAGAGTGAAGGAGACATTTAGAGGTTTACAGAGATTCTTTTAGCTTATAGCTTCTCTACAGGGATTTGCAGAGGCCCATCACAAATCCCACCTTGCTTCAGCCTTCTTGAGATCTCTAGAGGACCTTGCTGCACCCTTACCTATGAGGCTGGCTATGCCAGCATGTTTTTAAAGCTTGTTAGGAGCAGCTCTAGAAGAATACTCTGAATTAAAACTGAAAGACCACCAAGGAGGCCTTTGGGGGTTGTTGGGGTTAAGTTATGATCTGGGTAACATGAGTCTGTGCCAGGAGGAGGCAGCCATCCAAATGGGACAGTGAGGTTAATGCTGGTGATTTGCCTAGAATCAGTTGCACAGATAGCTGAGCCCTCTCCTGCAATGTAGAGGGAGTGCTGTTATGGAGCCATTGCTATCTCACACCCTTTGACTCCCATCAGGGGCTGTGTCTCACATCTTATATGTGTCTCAGCTGTATCAAGAAATCGGTATATGGTGCATGACACTGGCAGGGTCAGTTGTCCATAATATAGTGGCTTTGTTTGACTCTGGGGACCAGTCCATAAGGGCTCTTGTTCTGCTTCTGTCTTACTGTCAGAAGTCAGGCAGGCTTGCCTTTCCCTTTTCTCACTGGAGGAATTGAAGCCAGTCTGCTACAGTGAAAGTGAGTTGTGAGGCTTAAGTAAACAATTTCTAATGTAGGCAACCAATACAATGGTCTGCAGGTGTCTAATTTTTGCTTCTTAAAGCAAAAATCACTGAAAGGGAAGTGAAAAGGAAACCCTGAACACTATTCAATACTGGAGCATTATTGCACCAGAAATGGGATAATGAGGCAGTATTGATCCTATTGGAACAGCACAAATACATCTTGATGGACCATGGCTACAAGTGCGTAGTATGTTCACCTACTGACCTCCAGGAGGCATTGTTTTACAAAGAGGGGTTTTGGGGATATGGGAATATGTTCCTAGAGACAGGTGAAAGGTCTGGCCTGAAGCTCCACTGTGTAAAAGACATCTTAGAATGTCTCTGCAAGTTTTCTAATTGCCGTGGTATCATTTGTTCACAGATGTAGTCAGGTTGCTTTCTCTTTCTGCCCAAGTCTTATAAAGGTGAGGAGTTTTTACAGAGCTGGCATACAATTTGTGAATGCTAAGTCTACTTCCCTGCCAGTGAACATGAAGCATCCCTTTACTTGAACTGATCTCCATCCTAAAAGCCTTTTTCTCTACTGCCCTTATGGGAGGGCTCTTCAGGACTGCACATTTTGATAGTTAGAAGCTTTTTGTATAGTGTCTAGCCTAAATGAGAGCCCGTCTCCCCAGCTCCCTGGTGCCTGTCTTAAGTTTCTGTATTTCTCCTGCCTCCATGACAACATTTTCAGGCTGTCATTGGAGCATTGCTTAGTTTTCATTTTGCTCAGCTAACCATGACAAGCTTTCTGAATGTCTCGTTTTCTGTTTCTTGGTCATCCCTTCTGTGCATTCACTACAGTCAGAGGTCTCTTTCCTGCAGCTCTGTTACAAGCAGCACTTGCATCACTTCAAGCAGATCTTCCTAGAGATACCTATTAAAGCAATCTCTGGGAAATAACTTCTGGTATATAATTTGATTTTATTTACCTAGTAGCACTCCTATGGCTATCTAGGATAAGTTTTCAAGTTGCTGTGAAAATCCTGATGTGTTCTTGGAGTGCGTTCAGTAATTAAATAAAACCTTGACTCTGCACTTCAGGCAATCAGCAGAAAAGCAAAACCTTCCTCCAAAACAGAGGCAGAATCCTAGCTTGTCTAAGTATGAAAGAATTTGGGGAAATGCCTCCCAAGCACAGATGGTGAGCACTGCACCCATGAGGGCATGGTGATGCCTGCAGGAGTCTGGGGGCATGCTTACTCCTGGACTAGGCTGAATTGAGTTGTGTAGACACTCTGTTAATCTCTCTGCAGCTCAGTTCCCTTTCCCAACAGGGTGATGTGCAGTACATGTGAGAAGATGAGAAGACTATAAGATAATTTGATGCTGTGATAATTTGAGCACACAGGGAAGTGGAAGGCTTACCCTAAATCATTAATTGTGTTGATGAAGTGCTTGCAAAATACTTCACAAGACCTGATATAGAAATAGCTGTAAGAATGTAGTGTTGTTATAAAAGGCTTTCAGGTGACTGTATCTGCGTCCTGTAGCAGTTGAAGTTCTAGCTGCAGAAAGAGGATTTGAATGACACCCAAGTCAGTAACATCAGGTTTATAGATAAGTTTGCTGCAGACTTACAGACAGTAAGAGATGGCTGAATTTGTTTCGGGATGGAAGACTGTCAGTACTGTTTCTTAAGGATTATGCAATCTATTTGGTAACTTAATTGTTTAGCTAGATCTACTTTATGGAGTACTCTCCACAGTATTATTGGCATGTGTGCCCTCAATGCTCAAATTAATTTTTCTAGTAGAAACCTTTATCTAGTACTTGTCCAGCTAGTGCACCATTACAGGTTAAAACTCAAGTAATTTTTGTTGCTGATAAATAACAGACACTGCAGAAAGATAAAATGGTCCCTTTTTGCTAATCCTGTTTTCCATGTAAATCCAAACTAGGGAGGAGATTGTCTGAGATGAGAACAAACTGGGAAGAGCTCTCAGGCTGTCTGATTTCTCCTGTCTGCTTTGCAAAACAAGAATCAGATTAATGAATGTAATCAGATTAAGGCTAAACAAGGGAACATATCTGGGGGGCATCAGAACTCTGCTGATACCAGAGAACTGTATGTAAAAATCAATGTTAGGGGCTTAACATTACTTTATTGTTTAATTTAATGGCTTTCAAAGAAGCCCTGAGTGCTGGCAAGAGGAACATGCTTTTCCAGAGGGCAGAAAACCTTGAGGAAGCTGGGAAGTGGCTCTGAGACCCTGGATTTAAGCAGGTGTTGCTTGGGGTGACAGCAACTCACAGAGTCCTTTGGCACATTGGCTCATGTAGAAAGGCAAGAGGTGTGGAGCATCTTTGGACACAGGGTTTGATGCAGTTAAATCTACGCTAAATATCTCTCAGCCTGCTGTGTTTTATATAGAAAAATGATGCTGAAGGAAAAGGAGAATGTTCACATAGGAGCAGAGGGAGAGGGAGATGTGTAAGGTTCAGAACGACAGGAATGAGAGAATGACAAGAAAGAGGTCTATCTGAAGAAGAAGGGGAGATGTGGTAGAAACAGAATGAGAGATAGAGCATAGAAGGGGAAAAGATTGATAGAGCAGTAGCAGACCCTCTGATTTGCACTGCTCCCAGCAAACTGAAGGCAAGATGCACCATGCCAATGCAGCAGTGTACTACTAGTTCCTGCAGTGGCAGCACTCCGACATGCTGATCTTCGTGGGAAAGGCATTGTAAGTTTTCCAAGAGAAAGTAAATAAGAAGTGGAAATGCAAACATAAGGGAGAAGCTCAAGAACTTGATGGGAAAGGGCACTTAAGGTTTCTGGTTAGATCCATATTCTGCTGCTTTGGTGCCAGTTTTATCTTTCAACAAATACCCATGGGCAGCAGAATTTGATGTTTAAATTCTGCTGGTTACCACCAGTGCTGGCATTGAGGGGTTCCTCAGTGTGTGGATTTTTGCTTACCAGTGTGAAGTATGTCTCTCAAAATACCCAGGTTTTTCTTGCTGCATTTATTACCTTGCTTATATTTTAAGTTCTCTGAGAGAGTTTTCTGCGACAGCCAAAGGGATGTTTAATGTGGTCTTGCAGACCAACAGGCAAGCATGAATGAAAATAGTAAGAGATACTGAGATCTGAAACTGGTACTGCCTGATTTTGTAATTATTTTTTTTCAATGTCTGGCTGATTTGCCCTAGGAATTGTTAAGTTCTAATTGAGGTTTTCTTGCTGCTTGGGATATCTATAAATTCTAGCCACATGTGTTCCTTCTGCACCTAGTAAGCTGTGAGTGCATATTGTAGCTGTAGCCTTTTACCTGGGGCATGTAAGGTCTCTTTACTCATCACTGATTTTCTTGAAATTATTTTGTCATTGCTTGTCTTGGAAACATCTGTGGCTGTGTAAAATGTGCTTCACATCAGCTCTCGGGATCAGTTGCTGTTGCACAGACAGGCTCATATGACAAGGGTGGTTTTGTTTCCCTACGAAACAATTTGTGAATTAGAGGGGCGGATAGTGGGGCCCCTGATTTTCCACCCCCACCCCCCATCTTCCATAATGCAATCATCTGAACAAAAGTTTAGCATATCTCATGTCAGTATTTTCTTTTGAGGTGAGTGAGGCAATTAAATGTGAGGAGGGGGAACCAAACAAGGGAAGCTCATACGGTATCAACTCTGGTTACCTTGAAAGAATGGGAAAATGTGAGCTGTGGAAGTGTCTCAGTGCAGTAGTAGCTGGTACAGATCATCAGGCAGAGCTCTCACCATGCTCCGAGAGCTTTGACTTGCAAAGGAGCAGGTGACTCCTGTTGCTGGCTAGTTCCCAGTTGTTGCAAACGTGTTCAAATCTATACAGATCCACTGTCAGCTGCTCCTCTCTGGGTGGCTGCTGGAAAGTTGTGTGTGTGCACATGTGAACTTTCCAGTCTTAATCTGCATTAGAAAGCATGTGTGTGCATGTCAGCTTTCTACAGAGCTCTGGAGCATATGTGTCATGAGGGGTGAAACCAGAAAAGCAGATGTCCTGAACATGCTCCTCCTACCCGGGGATTAGAGATGCTCAGGAAAAGGCAGAGAGACGCTGGGACACACATCCCTGCCTCGCCACCAGAGACGGCAGCAGCTTCTGCAGGTTCAACGGGCTTCTGCTCTTTGGTCAAATAAACCCCTGCAGCTCTAGTTCCAGCAACCATCTCCTTCTTTTGGTTAACCAGGGAGGAGGAGGATGGCCTATGCTGAGGAAGACAGGTAAGGTGTTGTGAAACAGAGAATGCACAAACATCCAAGCTGGAAGGGGCTGGTGAAATTGCATTGCTTTTCCTCGCCTTGTTTTCCTCTTCTTCCTACTGGGCACTCAATAAATGTCAGACAAGGCTGCTCAGAAGTAAACATCTTATTGAGTAGGAGTCTGGCTGTCTGCCTAAGTCAGGTGCTGATATTATGCAATATGGCGCAGAGCAGGTGGCCTTGGGAAAGGTTATGGGCCAAAAGAGGTAAATACAGTGGTGTGGAGAGACATACGCTGCACATATGTATAATGGCATGCCAGTCTGAAACATGATACTCACTTTCTTTGTTTGGATATGTCTGGTTTTTACGTGGATTTGCTTTCAGCCATTCTGGAAGCACAGTGAGGGTGCGGTTTTTATGCCATAAAAGATCTGTCATCGGTGACAGTCCTGTGTTTTGCAGCAGATGTGTTTCTCTAGTGGATGACAGCAATCACAATAAAGGGGATTGTGTTTTCAGCTCATCCTGTGATTTAATCCAAACTGAGCACTATTATTAGGCATGCACTGTTGGAGATGGAGGAGCTATAGGGGGTTTTGTGCTACATGTATTAATTCAGGCTGTCAAAAAGCTTGCATAAACCTCAGGCTCTTGCAGTTCCAGGCTAACATTGCATTTGATGACCCACAGGTCAAACTCCCCCTCTGTTCCTGCAGAGCAGCAGGTATCTCCTTCACATTCAGGAAATATCTGTGCCTGCCAGTTGCCTTTGATGCCGTGGATCCGGAAGATTTCTGAAAAATAAATAATACAAGCAGGGCATTGCAGGTGAATTTTGGCATCACCATGCTCTCAGCACTGATGTGTCCAAAGTTTTTGGGATGGAGAGGGCTCTGCAAGGCCCCTGCCTGCCTGCTGAAGCTCCTTTCAGGCAGGGAGAGTGACACAGAGCTGCAGTTCTACCGCTTTAGTTAAGAAATACTTTAACATCATCTGTTCAGAAGGGAAAGGTATTTCCCTGAAACTTGGCACAGCTCAGTCAGTCCCACTGTCTTCAGCAGGCATTGAATGGGATTCATCCCACACTTCTAAAATTTCTGGGAATAATATCTATTCTTTAATGTTATTTTGCAAAGGCGTATGCACCTTAAAAAGCACTGATCAAGAGGAGGAGCAGATCCTGGTGACCTCATTCTGTTCTCATGCCTGCTGCAGGTACATCAAAAGCTCAAATGTTACATTTAAATTCTCTTGGTTCCCTCTAATTTCTAAGTAAGAATGACAGTTATTCAGCAGTGAAATCGGTGGGAATCATTCATTAATGTATGTAAAACTCTTCAGAGCTTTTGTCTGGGAGGAAGGGATAATATAGTCGTCAGTTAAGTGCAGGCTGTGTTAATGTCACTTCCCTAGCTTTTGCTTATTTCAGGAGCTGCTGATACACTTGGCAAATTCAACAACATGTTATGCTAAATAAACTTTCTCATTTCCAGGCTTTCCTTTGACAAGTATTTCAGCTAACTATGACTCTTCATTTTGTGATGCCCGTGAAAGTTATTTCTTCTCACTGGATTGCAGGTTTATGACATGCTCAGGTATTTTTGACGTAGTTTGTAACAAGGAGCACAAGTTTGACGTATCAGGCATTGGACAGGACTTACAGCAGGAGCTACACAGCTAGGTGGGAAAGATGTCTGTGCAATAACTACCTGCCTTATCAGTAGAAAGAAAGAAAAACAAGACTAGAATTGAGGTCCTTTATTTGAATAGCTGATACTTCAGTCAGAGGAACCAGCAGCACACTGACAGTCAGATCCTCTCCATCAGCAGCCTGAGACCTCCTGGGGTGTGGAGCAGCACTTTGACAGCTTTTCTGTATGTGCTGTAAGGCTGCAGACAGAATCACTGCATGACCAAGGTTTGCACCTCTGGAAACAAACTTGATTCAAAAAAAAAAAAGAAACATTCATGAAGTGACAGTTTATTAGCATCTCCAGTCAATTTTACATCACCTTCAGCCTTGAAGTATCTGATTCTCTCACCCCTTAATAAGCAGATCAGCTTTTTGTATAGAGAACATGCTGCCCTTACCTGTGTTGGTTCACTCTGACCATATACAGACATTAATTCTACTCATCAGTGGTAATGATTGAGTGACTAGCAAGAAATGCTATCACTGCCCTTGCTTTTGAGGAGAGTTTGCAATCAAACTTAGTGGTGCCTTTTGGAAAGTATCTACATTTTCCTATTGAAAACAGGATTATGGGGTTATTCTGCTATTGAATGGGTTTCAAAACTGATTAATATATCTGATGCATTCTGGACTGACAGGCCTAAAAATTGAAGTTGCCTCCCTTGGCAGTGTAAATGCCAACTTCTCTCCTGCTTTCTAGCAGTGTGCCTCAGTGCTGGATAAGGCATTTTTTTGCCAAGGTGTTTGAGCAGTCCCCATCTTAAATCAGACAAGCCCAGGAGTACAATTTCCTGGTTTTCACTTGTTTTGACATAAGCTGATGTCATTGAGCCTTTTGACAAAGATCAGACTGTGGGTGTGACCCACCGCCCACCCTGTGGGAGAGGATGAATAAAATCTGTTTAGCCTTCTGTACTGAAACCCCAAGGGTTTGAGAAGGTTGATGTTTGATATGTGGTACCAGCCTAGAAAGGAAGCACTATAGAATGAAACCAGTAAAGAGGATTCAAATGCTTGCCTGTGGCCAGGGGTAAAATGCAAGATGAAAAGTGAAACCTCTTCAATAATAGCAGCGAAGCTCCTTAATAAAACTTCTTTTTCTTTGCACTTTTCTTGGAATCTTATCCTTTGGAGCTTGTTCTGTGAATGGGTTGATAGCTCACTGGCCTGTTCTCTTTCTGCAGAAATAGCTATGAGGTGTGTAAAGAAACAGCAGACTGGTTGCGTGCCCGCACTGCCCAGTACCCAAAGACTGCCATTATCTGTGGATCTGGACTGGGAGGTCTGGCAGATGTGTTGAATAACAAGACAGTCTTTCTGTATGAGGACATCCCTCACTTCCCACAGAGCATGGGTTAGTACATCCCAAGGCATCAGAATCCCATGCATCAGCAGCCTGCAACAGCCTTACAGAGAGATAAGTCAACGTGCACCACTTGGCATTGGTCTGCAAACCAGTCTCTCTGGTGAAATGTGTGTTCACAGTAAAAAAAAAATTAAAAAAAAATTATGTATTTCTGTGCTGTGATATTTATTTGACTTTCAGCTCTTAGCCCTGCTGTAATGCATAATCATCAACTGACAAATGCTTCTAAAGTCAAAGACCTTGAGACGTGTAACTGAAATGGCAATATTAATTTCCAGTTGCAGGGCATCTTGGCAGATTGGTGTTTGGGGAGCTGAATGGACAGCCCTGTGTGTGTATGCAGGGACGTTTCCACTATTATGAAGGGTACTCTGTCAGCATGGTGAGTTCTCCTTTAGATCATCCATGCAGGGGGAGATATGCTGTGAAAGATGCAAAAGGGACTGCTTGCTTTGATATCTAGCTGCAGGAAGTTAGCTCTTGCAATGAACTTACATTGCTTTTGTAATCGTGCTTAGATTTGAGATTTCTCCCCAAAAAATAAAGCTGGGAGCTCAAACCGAGAGGTAGGCAGCTTCTGCTAGGTGAAGCTTATGTTGTGCAGCCATACAGAGTGGCTGGCCCTGCTATACTTTAGGGGAAAATGGTATATCAGACAAGGCAGATTAATATACACAATAATCTTGATTTACTGGCTGATAGTTTTGTTTGGGTTTTTATTTTGGTAGCTTTGAGATTTTACTTGTGGCTGAGGTCAGTTTGCATTCAGATATAAACTGTAATACTTGGCACCACTCAGCTTCTTGGGGCAGGGGGAGAAACTATTTTAAATGCATTTGATACAAAACTAGGTTTATCAAGATATGTTTGTCTATGAAGGTTAACTCATTTCTTAAGGAAGGGATGTCCATAGTTAGGAAATATTTCTGCTCACGGCTCCTTTAGCATTTTAGAGGTAGCAGATAGCCTGATTCCTTCTTGATTCCTTGAAATCAAACTTTTCATTTTTTTTTCCCACTTCCCAATTGTTTCTTAATTTTGGATAAGCAGGTCAATGAAGTGAAATTATGTGGATAAAATGAAATTAATGAAACCTCTATGGTCCTGTAAAATGGCATCAGTGCTGTGAAAAGCTGGCTTATCAATTACACTCAAACTAGCATTGAGTTGAACTACTTACGCACAAGTCCATGTGCACAAGTAATTACTTCGGTCAGCACAGTGGCTTGATTTCTGCAATACCTTGGCAGCAGGGAAAAACTATCTGAATGTTAGGGTTTTGGTTTGGTTTTTTTTGGTTGGGTTTTTTTGTTTTGTTTTGTTTTGTTGGTGTTTTTTTTTGTTTTGTTTTGTGGTGGGTTTTTTTTGTTTGTTTGTCTGTTTTTTGTACCATGTTTATTTGACCTTAATGCAACTGTAGGAAATGTGGGCTTGAATTTTAATGATTATAGTTTAAAAATCATGGTTTAGTATGTTTAAAAAACACTAAAATTCTTTCTATTTAAATTAGAGGAATATTTAAAATTGGAGGAAGTTTTGTCTTCTCATAGCCTTATGTAAAGCCTTCTCTGCATCATATATGCTGTCCTCAACTTGTAATAATGCTGATGTAGCAGTAGCTGTCTACTGTTGTGATACTCATGGCATATATGCCTCTGGCTCTTGCAGGTTACTTTTCCCATTAGGGTCTTGTTTCTCGTGGGAGTGGAAATCCTGATTGTCACAAATGCTGCTGGGGGACTGAATCCCAATTTCCAAGTGGGGGACATCATGTTCATTAGAGATCACATCAGCATGTTTGGCTTGGGAGGACAGAATCCACTGCGTGGGTCAAATGATGAGAGGTAAGAAGGCATCAGCTCTGTTATCAATTAATCCTTTCTTCCTCTGGCTGCAGGCTAGGACTGCCAGCTGTGTCTTCTGGCAAGTATTTACTGAGAGGTAGAGTGTGGCTCCAGGTACCCACAAGGTAGTTGTGTGTGCTGTGTCACCACCCCTGCCTTCTCCAAGCATCCTTCCTTGATGTTGCTTACTCTTACAAGCCTCTAAGGAATTTACAAGCAAGCCTCCAGAAGGCTTTGTTTTATGAAAGTAGGCTTGTGATCCCTCTTCTGACATGGCCAGCCGTACCATCTGCTGTAGAGACCTGCTTCTGTCTCTTCTTGTCAGTCCCTCTCTGTGTTAATTCTTCATAATCGCGCAGTCTGAACTGCAGTCTCCAGCCTGCATTCATCAACAGCCATTTCTGGTGTGATGGAACTGATACAAGAAAGGCCAGGCAGTAGGCTGATCTCAGAGCAAAGATAAAAATTCTAAATATCCTGATAACCACCTTTGTAGCCAGGTCATTAAACTGGGGTGCCTTTGTTAGCATGTATTCACTGAGAAATAGTTGTCTTTGCAGTTTAAGAGACCTTTAGATCTGAGAGTGACCTGCTGCTGGTTGAGCTGGGAAATCAGGTTTCCTATAGTTGCTGTCGAGTAGGATCTTTACGCTATGGATGGGGCACAGAGGGTCTTGTGGCACATCCTCACCCCTAGACTGCTGTTGCCACCAGACATAAGTTGCTTAGAGCAGCAGGTTGGACTAGATGACCTTGAGATCCCAGCCAGAATTAATCTATTATCCTAAAATCTCTTTCAAAGGCATGTTTCAGACTGGTAGGGTGGAAGGCAACCAGTAACAGCAAAGTCACAGCAATGAGAGGGGACAGATGGACCAGTGTTTACAAAAAGAAGCCCTTTGGCACTCGTATGGGGCTAAAAGAGGATAAGGACACATCCACTGGAGACTCAGGCTGCGGAAAGGAGAGCACATCAAATGTCAGGGGAGTCAACATGGAAGAAGTAAAGATCCAAGGCTATCAAGAGTCTTAGGGAAGGAAAGAAAGAGGCTGGACTGTGAAAAGGTGATAAGAGTAGCAAGAATTATTTTGTAACAAGCTGGCAGGAAGAGAAGCCAGATGAAACCCAGGTGTGTGAAGTCAGAGGCTGGGTGAAGGAGGTGGTAGTTTATGAGAAAAGAGTGAGCTTAAGTAACGAGATGGTTACATCTGTTGTGGGGTTGCTGCCTTCTTTTGAAAAAAGAAACGTTTACAGCACAGGCATCTGGACTGTCGTGGGGTCTTTCAAAAAAGTTCTGGCCAAAAACACAGTGGTCTGTCTGGCTTCCCATTACAGTTAGTTACTTCTGGATGTAATGCCAGACCTGGTTCCTGTTTCTGAAGCAATATGAAAGGTGCTAGCAACTGCCTCCGAGATAAACACTGTTCTGTGATTCAGATGTCAAGAGGACAATACCCATCTGAAGAGGCTCATCTTTACATCTTCATAGGTATTGGTGTGGTTTGAAGGAAAGAATGATCAAAAGCACAGAGGCCACATGAAGGAGTTTCTAAAGCTGTCTGGACTTGCATAATTGCTGTGGAACAGGAGAAGAAATTCCAATCAATTGCACCTGGACAGCACTCAAAGGAAGCATAGCTGTGGTGTTGCCTCCCCAGAGCAGCTTCCTGGTGAAGACTGCAGTGCTCTGGAAGGTGACTTTTGTCCTGCTGACCAAAATGGGCAAAAGGTCTTTGTGAATCAGCTTTCAAAGTATTGCACAGCTTTAGCAGAGCAAACTTCTAAAATCCAGTCCAGCTCAGCTACCAGGAAGGGCTTAAGCATGACAGAGTAAAACTAGAGGCGATGTGAAATAGAAAGGGAATGTACTGCAAGAATGTGAGGACTGACTTTAATGAGTTGGAGATTGGCTTCTCTGTTGCTGGCCATCCTTCAGGAAAGAGAAGCTATTTTCATGGTTATGAGTAGTTACTGCCTTAGACCAAATGGGAAAGTTTTATTTTTGTTTATGTAATACTTAATTCACATAAACATAAAATAAGCCACCTACTGCCCTAAACGTTTAGCTGGAAGACCATGGAAACAAGCAGGAGATTTAATAGCCCAGATGAAGGACTGGTCCACTCCAATGGGACTGGTTTGGTGAACATGGCTGGGAGCTTCTTTTCCAGATTTCCTCAGCAGCAGCATGCCATCTACTTCTGGTCTCCTTGCATCAATTGTAGGATTCACTCAGTCAGGAGCAGGACTGAGCTGTCATCTTAAGACCTAAAAGAAGCAAAAGACCCAGCCTTGAAGAACAGTATGGAGGCTATCTAAAATATGGTCTGGGAGCTCCAACATGAG